GGGATTATAAAAGGAGAAATGATGCCTTTGAGCTGTGGTGCTGGAGAAGAGTGTTGAATATACCATGGACTGCTAGGAGAACAAACAGGTTCATCCTAGAGAGGGTGAAACCAGGCTGCTCCTTGGAGGCAAGGATTCTGAAGCTTTGTCTGGCATACTTTGGATATGTTTCAAGGAGGGACGAGTCCATGGAGAGGGACATTATACTTGAGGGGATGGAGGAATGGTGCAGGAGAGGGACACCTTTGGTGATATGGATTGACTCAGTGACTTGGGTAATGGAAGTGGGTGTGTCAGAGACAGTAAGGTAAGAGCTGTAAGAGCAGGGTTAAGAGCTATTGTACATAGGGTCACTATGAGTCACAGGTGATTTGATGGCACATAACAACAACAACAATAGCAATATTAATATTTCTAGTGCTAGAGATAAGTGTGATTTAGCATGAGTAATGAGTTATTTACAGGATTTGACTATGCCCTTTTTAGCATTGTTTGTTGGTGTTAAGTCAACCCTAAATCATAGTAAAACAAAAGGAAACCCTGCCTTATTCTTTCTGAGCTCTGCTTATAATCTCTGCTGTACTTAAACTCATTGTTGCAAGCACTGTGTTGTTGCTGTCCATTCGCCGGCAACCAACAGCAACACCCTGATGGGGGCAAGCACAACGGAGATACACCACTCTGGGAGAGGATCAGAGAGAGTCAATCCAGCTCAATTTTATTGGGGACTACAGTGCACTTATAGACAAGCATGTAAACAGGAAGACAGGATAGGGAGGGCTTATAGATTTAGGACCGTGCAGACTATTCCCAGCTCAACAGATGTGGCAGCCGTCTTCCCAGGTGGCGCGCTTTCTCAAGCCAGTACAGCCAAACACAGGGGAGCTTTCTCTACCCGGTATTAAAGGCAATTGGGAGACTTGCACTTATCTGGAGCTTAGGCGATCTGCCTGGCCAGAGGCCCTTCCTTCCTCCCCAACATTCCCCAACACTATGTCACTCCATCTCATTGGGAATCTTCCCTTTTTTGCTGACCTTCTACTTTTCTTTGTAAGTAATTTTTAAATTGTGCTTTTAATGAAAGTTTGCAGAAAATTTGGATTTCCATTCATTGTTGCACATTTTCCACCCCACCTCCCCCCCACCCCAAGTTTGCTTTTCTCTTAAAAAAAATCATTCATTGTCACACAATTTCCTCCCTCCCCTCACCCCAGTCCTCTTTGCTATACACCTCATATTCTGGGCTGTTGTCATGCAAATAATGCCTAATCATATATTCCTTTTAAACAATTTTTCTGTTATCTGTTCCAAAGCAGTGTTCATCATTTATCCCTCTTTTCTTTTTTTTCCCATTTTATATCTTCTTTATTTAGGAAAAGACTTGAAAACATACAGAAATCCCTAGAGACGGCTTTCTCAGAGGCAGTATGGCGGCAGCCACCTGCTGTTGTGCTGGACGACCTCGATCTCATTGTTGGCCTGCCTGCCCTTCCTGAACACGAGCAGAGCCCTGCCACAGTTCAGAGCCAGCGCCTCGTACACGGTAACATCCCACCTAATAGCTCACACTCCTTCAGCCTTGATACTGAATATACTCTTATAGAGAATAGAACAAAGAATTTAATTACAGAATAATAATAATAATAATAATAATAATAATAATAATAATA